CAATATTCATGACGGACATTTCAGATAGTGGGTAAGTTACCTGGGCATGGACCACGATCTTTTGAGAAGCAGATCGCCATTTCGCGCAGCAGCCGCTTTACGTCTCCCCTGTCGCCAGTAGTAATTTGTTCGATGGACGAATGTTCGCCGCAGTGCATGCGATCGTCGACGATGGAGGAGCTTTGCGTTGCCAGTGGCAGTTTGTCTGATGGACGAATGTTCGCCCCAGCGCGTTCGATCGTCGGCGATGGGAACGTGAACGCAAAAGCGCTCGTCACGGCACATCTGCTCACGAAAAGAGGGTCGCGCCATCTAGTAGAATAGCCGTTTGTGCCCCCTTTGTGGCACCGGGCCATCGGCACCCCGTTTGGCACCGTAGGTACGAGACGACGGGAAGGTTGAAGGTCCACGAAAAGGGACAGGCGCTGGGCACCGTCGAGTCGATCGGACAGCTGATGGAACGCGGGAGGGGCTCCAGAGTATATAAAGACGAGGGGGCCCCTTCTTCCATTTCCAGCGCAGGTCGGAATTGGATTGCGACGCGTCAATATCGCCACCATCGGTTCGACACGATCTGACGGCCGTCATGCTGTGGTCGGGGACATGCTGCACAATATATAAGGAGGATAGGTCCTTCCTCCATTAGGTATTCTCTGTTTCATGTGAGAGAAGAGAGTGATTGGGGCCGACAACGCTGTTGGGAGTCCGGGAGCGCAAGAGAAGGGGAGGGCGTGAAAGAAGAGAGCGAGTGGGGCCGACGGCGAAAACCTATTGTACACCCACTTTCGGGTCGGGTCGGATGTTGGAGAGTGAGTGATTTCTCACCGCGCGGCGATGCAAGCGTTGTTCCAAGGCTCGTCCGGAGCGGGAGTTAGAGTGCGGAGCGGGAGTTAGAGTGCGGATCGTGGAGCAACTTTCTGCGAGGCGAGCACAGCGAACAGATGGTGAGGATTCGTCTGGATCCTATGATTTCCAATCACCACGCGCCACGTGGCACTTCAAACTCTGCAATTATCGAATCGAACATGACAATCGCCCGAGGAACGACATTGCAAAGGAAGCGTAATGCCACCGTCTTCGTGTCGAACACGATGACCAGCGAGAGTATTGTCACGGGCGGTGCCCGACGGTGACTCCTCCCCGCTGCATATGTGGGGGATGCGCTGCGGTTGTCGTGTTCAACACGACGACCGCATCCTAGTGTGATGGAAGCCGTTGTGTTCAACACGACGACCGCAACCCAGTGTGTCGGGAGCCGTCCTATTCAACACGACAACCGAAGCCATGAATGTCGTCAGTTGTCGTGTTCAACACGACGACGGCTCTTCCACGATGTATGAGCGGGGGCGCACATCCCCCTCCCGCCGACGGCACCCTGCTTTCTCCGTAGTCGTTGTGTTCAACACGACAACCAACTTCTGGCGCGTCGCTAGTCGTCGTGCTCAACGTGACAACCGCGGAGAAACAAGGGTGCCGTCGAGAGGACGATGTGCGCCCCCGCGCATACTGATTCGTCGTGTTGAACACGACAACTGACGAGAAACCAGCCTTCGTTTGTCGCGTTGAACACGACGATTACCAACGCGCCAGAAATTGGTTGTCGTGTTGAACACGACGGCGGCTCTTCCGCGGTGTATGCGCGGGGGCGCACATCGTCCGCTCGACGACAGCACCCTTGTTTCTCCGCAGTCGTCGTGTTCAACACAACAACCGGCTTCCGGCGCGTCGGTAGCCGTCGTGTTCAACGCGACAACCGAAGTTCGGTGTCTCGTCAGTTGTCGTGTTGAACACGACGACTGTGGAGAACCGAGGCTGCGGTCGTCGTGAGGACGATGTTTGCCCCCCGCCCTTCAATCGTGGAAGAGCTGCCGGTTGTCGTCGTGTTCAACGCAATAACCGAAACCTTGTGTCCCGTCAGTTGTCGTGTTCCACACAACGACGGCTCTTCAACGGTGTGTGTGCAGGGGCGAACATCGCCTGCATGATCGCACTTTTGTTTCTCCGAAGTCGTCGTGTTCAACGCGACAACCAAAGACTGGTGTCAGGTCAGTTGTCATGTTGAACACGACGACGACGCTTCCACGTCGTCCACACGAGGATGTGCGTACATCGACCGCTGGTCGTCGTGTTGAACTCGATGATCACACTCGTCGTGTTGAACTCGATAATCACAAACGACTTCCTCTGTGTGTGAGTACAGTGCGGTGGTTGTTGGGTTGGACATGAAAATCGCGGCTCCCTGGCGAAATGCCAACAAATCCCATATGACAACCATGCAGGACAACCAAACCGCACTTTCAACCACCTACCCGAGCTCCTGGAGTGCGAGATGTTGTCGGGCGGTCTTCGTGTTCGACTCGACAACCACCGGGATGTTGTGACGTTCGAGATGTCGTAGTCCCGATTGAGCGCTTTGTGCCGTCGATCTCTGGGGTCTCACCTGAGTGCGATGCAGTGGTTGTCGAGTTCGACACGACAGTGGCATCTCACCTGAGTGTTGTGCAGTGGTCGTCGAGTTCGACACGACAGTGGCAGCACCCTGGCTAAACTCGAGTGGTGCCCGTTCCCACAACATAAGGTTGTGCATTGCTGTTTCCAGCGTTGTTCGGTTCCGAGTGTGTGTTCGCAAACCTTGTCCCTACTCCTTGGAGCACTGGGATTCTTCTTGCTGGCAACTGCTGATTTCATCATTGTGGCGTGCAGGGCGCTTGCATATCGCGATGGACATCTCCGATTGGATCACCCCTGCTGGTCGGCACGAGAACTTGGCTTACCCTTTTCCACCGTGCGCGGTGGGCTTGCGTGGGTGTGGAGAGTCCACTGAAATCTACGGGGCGACTCGGGAGGACTTCGAGTCTGATCCCTGGACGAGGGTCGTCCCGTGGAAGGATGACCACCTGGACTCATGGGGAGAGCATCAGTGGGAAAGTATGTTGAAGGAGTGTCCGTGGGCGAAAGACTATGAGTTCGCTAATATGATCGAGTTCGGAAGTCTTATCTCAGTGCCCCATGAAGTCCTAGGTTCAATGCGTCTGCGACACCTGTGCTAAAAACTCAATTCTAGTCGTTATTTCAACGTCTTGGACTGCAGATACATCACTGTCTCGCCTCGCACATGGTGTCGTTCACTGAAACGGGAGCTGCTTGAATGTGCCAGGCATTGTCAGTTTCTTGATCGGTATCCTTTACGATCTCCTGGGCTATCGCCTCGAGCCGTGTCGTACTACTGCGTCAGATTGCATATGGGACAATTCGTTTTCTGTATGATCCTTTGCATAGTGTGTTCTAACATTAGTAGGACCTTCACAAATGCTGTGGTGTACGTGTCCAGGAACGAGTTGGAGATAGGAAAACGCGGGGTGGGTTTAGTTACATGAGAGATCGCTGGGAGCTATGATTTGGTAATCGGGGGTAAGGGGGACGACGTGACGCATAGCATGAAGTTGAGACGAAAGCGTCGTCTATACGGGATGCCATAGGCAGGTCTCTGGCCGTCAAGACCGGTTTCGTGCGAATGAAATACATTTCAATGTTTGCGGATGATGCTTCTGTCGAGGAGTCGTTGTGTCTGACGTTCAGATGTCCTGTTCGAGCAGCTAATGACTGCATGATTGCAACAGCTCGCCATCATCGGTAGATGTTCTGCAAGTTGGGCGTCAACAAGTTGAGCGTCGCTTCTTCGGGATCACAAATGGCACCCTGCCTTTCGGTCGTTCTACGAGTTCTGTTGTCGGACCTGCCTCTGACTTTCTTCCGCTTCGTTGTCAGTCTCTGGCCTCGGAAACAATCTCTTCCCCTTTCTTTTCGTGACCTTGAACTAGGGCAACAGGCCGTTTCAAGTGATCGGTTGCCTGGTCGTTGGACGTTTACAGTGATGCATGTCTTCGAAACATTTATTTCTTATGTATTTGTGCTCGTACATGCGAAGAGTGTCTTCCGCTTCGTTGTCAGTCTCTGGCGTCGGACGTTTATAGTGATGTGTGCCTTCAAAGCATTTCTTGAATGTGTCGCGGCAACTACAACATTATCCGCGTGCCTTCTGTGTCTTTTCGTTATCATAAACAACCCCTTCCGCTTTTGTGCTGCAAACCTGAAATTCTTGAAAATTTATATGGATTTCTGACACATGCGCAAATGTAAAATGTTTCGCTCTCTAATCTGAGCCCATTCTATTATTGTGGACTATGACGCAGATGGGTTCATGCATGGTGCATGCTTCTATATCTTGCACTGTGAATTCGAGGGATTTTGTCCTTATGTCGGGGTAGGTCGTGTCGAACAGGACAGCAACCTCCACATATATTGTCGTGTTCGACATGACCATCTCGCGCAAGAGATTCTTTCTGTGTGGAAAAAAATCTGCACTCTCTGAAAGAGAGAAATACCCGCCCTTCCACCACGAGTCGTCATTGACAACCTACAATGGAGGCACCGACCCGCCCTCAGGGACTGTCGCATCGAAACCGAGAGAATCATCGACGTGTTCGACACGACCATTCCGGAAATGAGTGCACGTTGTCGTGTTCGACACGACAATCACTGAGGGTTCCTCGATGCCACTGCCCAAAGTTGTCGCGGCGGGGAGGGGATGTGTCCTTCGCACTGAAGACGCTGTGGCTCGATGTCGCCAGCCACTGAAGAAAAGTACTCGTCCGCTTCTTCAATTCACAGGACTCTTTCCCTGCTCGCCGCGACAGCCCACTCATTAACCCGCTCTCCGACATGGTCGTATCGCAGGGGGTGGGTTTTTGCCTCCATGCTTCTAAGGATGCTCTTGTCATGTTTGCACGACAATCACAGGGGGTGGGTCTTTGCCACCAGTCACTGTACCGGGTTGTCGCGTCGGACATGACAATGCTATCTAGTGCAGTGTTGATCGAATACGATTTGTCCGTCGAGTGTGTTTCTGAACGACAGCTGAATTATTACTGATATCCATCCGGGTTGTTGTGTAGGACATGATAACGAGGTCTCGGCTATTCGTAGTCTTGTCGTGTCAGCCACGATTACGAGGTCTCGGCTATTGCTCGTCTCTCGGCGTTGTCATGTCAGAAACGATAACCTCATCCTGTGAAATGTCATTCGAAAGTTGTCTTCTGAGAGTGGGCGGTGCAAATGTATGTCTGTCCGCCTTGAAAGAGTTTCCCATTTACTGCTTTGGTTTGTTGATTGTTTTGGCATGACAGCTCAGTTGTTACTAGACTCCACTGGACTCTGCAGAATGGATGCTACAGAGAAACAAGCGAAACGCTCTAGAACCAGGAGCTCTGCGAGTGTCGAGCACTCGCCCAAAAAATCGAAGGGAACCCCAGTCACCGGGGTGGATAAAGAAGAGACACCAGGATCGGGGGCGACAGTACACCGCCGGTCATCGAGCTCAGCGATGCAGACGCCAGTGCAACAACGTACGTCTCTTTCAGGTACACCTCTTTCAGGTGCGCAGAGTCACCCTCGGGGATCTGATCAAGGCAGGGAGGGAGAACACCATGTCCGGATTGTGGGGGTCGCTCAAGGTTCTGGTGGTGGTCGTGGTCAAGGGTCTGGTGGTGTTCGTGGTCAAGGATCTAGTGGTGGTCGTCGACAATGCGCAGAAGAGACAGCGCGGCATTCGGGCTCCGTCGAGAGGTCTGTGCATGGGGTGTCGGACGTCGTGCCTCTTGTCGACTACAAAGACAAATTCTGGATGTTGGACTGGGCAGGCGATATCGGGCAGGATGTAAGTGGTCTGCTTCTGTTCGTCGTTTTGCGAGAGCAACTCAGGCCGGTCGGCGGTATTGCGTCTTGGGTGGGGAGGGACAATCAGTTTGCGACTTTCGAATTGACTATGCTCCTCAACGACAAAGGCCAGAGAGTTCCAGATGCGAATTATGTTGTTGTTAGGTGGAGTAACCATAAGGGATATGGTAAATCACTTTTGGATATCTTCAATCCAGATCCGAGTCTTCAACTGAGATTGCCTGTTCAAATTTAAGTGCTCGCGTTCTTCGACGCGAATGTGATTCGAGGCCATGGGGCTGTGGCTCACAAGGATGGCGCCATGACAGAACCAAAAAGTGTTATGTCAGCAGCTGCACTAGGACAGTCTTCGGGAATAATGCGACCAACTGTGGGTGCCATATCTCTCCGGCCGTCAGCGTCCACGACGATTGTCCCGAAAGCAGGTCAGATCGCTTCCAAGGGCCCCGCTCATGCACAAGTTCCACCGCCGGCGCCGAAGAAGATCCGTGGTTTAGCAGCGAAAAAGCCACTGGATGTATTGCACGACATTGTGCGTTCGTCGAGTATGTATGGTGCCGCTGTGCAAGGGCATGAGGAGCACTCGAGCATGTACGGTGCTATGCAACGTCATGAGAAACCTTTGTATTTCAAAGATTCGGAGGAAGGGAGCAGCGAAGAAGGAACAGAGAGGGAAGACGAAGAGGAAGGTTCGCAGGAGAGAAGTGGTGGAAGCCAAGGAGAGGAAAAAGAGGATAGTGGACAAACTTTTGGTGAGAGGGAAGGCCATGAATGGACACAAGCCGAGGAGTTAGAGAGACGACGACACTCAAGTGTTCATGCTGGGCTGTGCATTGAGCGGAAGGAGAAGAGCGATGACGAGCACTCCGAAGATGTGCAGAAGCAAGAAGAGGGTTGGCATGTGGACGAGCTGCAACACAAACTCGGTGGAAAATATGAACAAGAGAGGAGAATGCAAGAGAGAAGAAAAAGTGTCGAGGAAGAAACAACTACATCATCGCCGGCTGTGACTATTGAGGATAAGAAAAGGAAAGCTAGGCAGGAGAGAAGAAAAAGTATCGACCAAAAAAGGAGCAGGAAGGAGCAACCTCAGAAAAGACAAGTGCAGCCACTGCCAATGGATGAAGCAGTCCAACGTACTTGCGATGCAAAAGCTGCTGCAAAACAAAAGCCAACGCGGAAAAAGAGAGTAGCAAAGGGAGGTACGATGGAGAAGACGGCAGTTTTCCCCGCCTCTGAACAGCCACAGTGTGGCGATGAGGGGAAAGGCAAAACTGTCACGCGGCCATGAAGATTGCAACTGTCGCCAAGTGAGCCAGCCACTTTGCATCTCGGGAAGGGATTCTTTCTAGACTTCAATCCAGACGGCACCCAAAAGAGTGAGACACAGTTTATCACAATCGAATTCCAAAAGATTCTGGACATTCCAGATGAAGAGTTTAGATATAACCAAAGATTTCTTGGCCAAAATCACGTTGATGAGATCTACGAAGCGATGGTAACATCAGGTGAAGAGGCTATTCGTGAAAGGACAACAGGCAGGACAGGGTTGAACACAAGTCCGTTGTACGAGAAACTATATTGTTGTTAGTGGCAGTGCATGACCAGCTTCATACAAACTCGAAGGGTGAAGTTGTGCGAGCAAGAAGGGTTACTCCTGACGACTTCCGCAGAAAGCCGCTGGATAAGTACTTTTGGTACCCTCTCAGTGGTCAACAGAATGTGGCGGCAGCAAGGAGATGTTTTTGCGAAAATTCGGCTATGTCAAAAGAGTTGCGGCTAGATTATTGGACAACCAGGCCTGTCTATTATCCGGACCAGTTCATGGATCACTAGTTCATGGATCACTATGGAACGTTGAGCACATTCCAGAATGCAAAGGATAAATGGAACACTCCGCCTCATCAGAGCATTGTAGTTTGAGGTATCAAGAAGTTATGGAAGACGTCTGACTGTCCTGATGCCACAGGTGGGCACGGAGCTGATGTCAAAAATGCGGAATATAGGAAATTTGCAGGGGAGGCGCTTAGAGTGACTGGTATACATCATTACATTAGCATGTCACTTGGTCAGTGGAGTTCAGAATGGTCGGACTTCCTCGGTCCTTACATGATCCTAGCTAGGGCATCTGACGATGTATTTGAAAAAGTGGAGCAGGTGTATACGGCTTGGGAAAGCGGACAACTGTCAGGAAGAGACGCGGTGAAGCCTGTCACGAAACAAGGCGAAGCAGGAAAAACACAGAAGTCGGGCCCCGGTCTTGAGGTGAAGAATGGATCTAGAGTTCCTGTGCATTGGATACCAGGCACGAAAGGACCTGGTTTCCTTGTTCTTGTTCATGATCCGGATGTCAGGTCATGGAAATCACTTTCCACTTTGGGCAGGCGTGAGCGGCTGCAGATCTTGCGTGATGTCTTAGGAGGTGCTGTGATCTTGGCTCCAAAGCAAAGCAAAGCTACAAAAGTTGTCGGGTTGTATTAAATGGAAACGTATGTTGAAGTCGTGAAGACGGAGAGAGCGATGTTGCGAATGTTTCATTACTTCGTCTTTGTTTCAGACGCGGCGAAGAAGCCATCCGATTGGAAGGACCCTTTTTTCATGGACCTAAAAGATGTATTCGACAGCTATCGCTATCAGGGCCTTACATATGAGAGATGGGTTTATCAGAGGCAACATTTCAAAGATTTGCCTTGGATAAAGTCATTCCCATCAACTCTGGGAGGCCAAGATGAGAAAGGGGAACAAGGTTTTCAGAAAACAAAAAAACTCGCTGAGAAATATCCTGAAGAGTTCGAGCGTTTTGTGGAGAAGTTGTTGCATAGGTCAACAATGCGAGGTTCAGAGAGCATTCGCTTATCCGGGCAAGCGAAATATATACACTTTCTAAAACAAGATGTGAAGTCTGTTTTTGTTCCTTTCCAATCGGATCCTGGCGATGTCTCAGATGTCATGGAATGTAAAGAGGTCTACAGGGTCATCCGACATCTGACATGTCACACAATGCTGCTTTATTTGTGCCATCCTACTCAAATGGCCAAGTGGACAGAGCCAGTTTTTGATGGACTCTGGCAATTCATGAAAATGGTGGGAGGGGAGTATTGGACGCTGATATGCTTCATTCCGCGGTCCAGTGAGCTGACCTTTTTCAGGCGGGTGGTCCAGTGGGATATTCACATGTCAGTCGCGAAGTGGACTCGCCAACAACAACAGAAGGTCCGCCATCCGTATAAGATTGCAAATTTGTCATTGGAAGATGCGGACAAAATGGTGCTTATTATGTATTCCAATGATGGGGACTACCACCGGAATACAATACCGTTGTTCGAAGATATCCAACCAACGGGACCATCTTCCAGTACTCGAGCAGCTGACATTTCCACACTTGCGCGGCGAGAGCGGAAGCCAAAGGTGCTCACAGATGTATTGGAGAAGAACTTTCTGCCAACGAAGTGGAAAATGGCGGGTATGGAACCGAAAGAAAAAGTTGTGTATGAAGGAATGGAGAGGGAGACAAACGCAATGGTAGAGACGCTGGAACACTTCTGTTTCCAGTGGATGAAGCTATTGTGTTTTGGGGAAAGGGTCATGCAACTTTGGTGTGGAAGCTATTGAAAAGTAATCGCCACTGCGTAGTTTTGGAAGGAGAGGACATAAAGTTCGACTTCCTTGTACAATTCATAAACAAGATGGTCGGCACTCGAGATTATCATGGGAAATTCATCAAGCCACCACCCCGTCATGATGAAGCTCATGATTTTGTGCACAAAGTGGGTCAAAATATGTCGAACATCTGGCAGTTCCTTTTCGAGATGCGGCCTGAAAACAGGGGAGACCGTGCATATGTTGCTCGCAGGCGAAAAGTTGAGACCCTTCTACGAGGTTATCATAAGGCTTCTTCATACAAAGAGATTGCATTCCTCGACCGATTGGAGATCATGTACTTTGATGAACGAATCGGTGCTTTCACAGTCGCTGCCTACGCAACTTGCTTTCCGGAGGGTGAAAAGTTTGACGCTGAAGATTCGGAAGAGGAAAGTGTCGACGGTACTTTGCAAGCGGCCTTGGCATGTGAAAGGGAAAGGACAAGTACCTCGCCTTCTCAAAAGATGGCTACAGCAGGGACGTCATCAGGAACTCCTTCAATTGGAATTTCAGGTGTCGTGCTTGCCGGCGCAACGACACTTCCACTGACTACACCTCCTGACAGCACGACCGCTTTAGCAACGGCAGTGTCATCATCTGCAGGATTGATGTCCGATCCAGCGTCGGCCTTTAGAGCTCTGTTCGGTGCTGAGGCCTTCCCCGAGTTATTAACGAGTTTCACAGGATTTGCACAAAGCCCTGCTTTGTTGCAACGTTTCCTTCGTTCTCAGACCGCACAACAAGAACCTGAACCTGCAGAGGCGCTGGAGTACTCATGAGATTGGGGATAAGATCCCCGCGGACATCGCGTTATTGACGAGGCCTATCGTTTGTCGAGATGACCATACAATGATGGATAATGATAAGTGGGGTCACAACATCGTGTGGCATCCACAACATTTTCAACCGGCTTTCTCGACGCAATCCTAATGTTTCCCCATCAAGAGTGGACACAAGGAAGCAGCAGATTTTTTAGGAACTCAAAGCATTACGAAGACTTGAGTACTTGGAAGAATTTTACGATAGAGTAACAAGCCCGGCATATGGATACAACTGGCATATTGAGGAGGATGACGACACCGGAGGGGGAAAAGGACAAGGTTCTAGCGGTGGAGCGAGTGGAGAGGGAGATGGACACCCAAGTGGTGATGAGGGAGGAAATGATAAGAAAGGGAGTGGTGAAGGTGGAGGGACATCACAAGGGCCTGCGTCCAATCAGCCTTCAAGAGGTGCTATAGGAGGTCAACCACATCATGAGCACGTGGGAAGCGGCGGTCCTGTAGGAGGACATATCGATGTCGGTGGTTCGCAGCAAGTCAAAGTGTCCACTGCAGAAAGACAAGTTGATGATTGTGAAGGTGGACTAAGTGTCACCACGACACTCACACTCACAAGTACCACTATGACAGATGTTGTATGGTATGATGTCAGCGTCACAAGTGTCTTCCCTGTTGGCGAGAAGGCAAATATTGGCAGCCCGCATGACCATATGTGGGAGTCTATGGATATTATGTCATGCGGATTGGAAAGTCAAGGGCGACTTAGGACATCAATGGATGAAACCATGTTTGCGGGGGTGACAGAACCGCAGGTCGAGCCTACCACTCCGCTCGGTGAAAAGACACTCAGAGGCGACTTTGAGATTCCTACCGATTTTCAAAGTACGATATTGACGGAAAAAGCACGACAAGGGTCTCAGGATGCGCCTATTGCATGCGGAACGGCAACAACAATGGAGGAGACCATGTTTGTGGGGGAGCTCGAACCATAAGTCGAGTGTAACAGTCTATTGCATGAAGAGACCCTCGGCGGGGACTTCGACATTCCTACCGAATTTCGAAGTTCGATATCATCAGAGAAGGCACAAGGAGAATTTTGAAGTCCGATATCATCAGAGAAGGCACAAGGAGGGTCTCAGGATTCGCCTATTGTATGTGTCACTGCACGAAGAAGCGACACTCTTCAGGGGCTCGTGGGGAAAGCAGCAATCCAAGCACCCGACATCGAAGAGGATAAAGGCCATATTGTACTGACTACTCCAGAGCAACACACACCTGTGGAGGAAGGAAAAGAGAACAAACTTGAAACTCCTCTCCAACAGTTGAGCCCAGCTGTTCCAGTAATAACCATCGAAGAATCCCCTGTTAGAGAAAGGCAGTTGGGAGGTGCGAAAGAAGACGATATTGAAGGGAAAATTGCAGTTAGTCGCCGAGGTGAGCGCTTATCTCACGTAGGGCAAATTTTTGTAATATTTTGTGTAAAACATGAGTTGATTTTTTATTTTTTTCTGTCGCACTTAATTGGAAATACTCGATGTTTATTTGCATATATGTAGCGTGCCCATTCAAGTTGTTTAGGTGAATTTTTAATAATGTTATAACGAACGTCACTCATATTGTGAAGTACAAGATTGACTCTTAATATTTTACTGCTATTAATGTTCTTTCACATTCACATTGTTTAGGTGGATTTTTAATAACGTTGTAACGAACGTCACTCATATTACTTGTTACTATCGGTCATGATTGTGGTCTCTACATTGATGAACGTGCAGGTCTGCGTAAAGGACTGTGGAAAGCGCCTCGCGTGCACTTGCAAAGGAACAAAGACAAGAATATTATCATCGTGGTTTGCAAGCCTTGTCAACGCTGCTGTTGTTGCCAAAAACAGTTAAAATACGAGACGAACATGTGACGATCCCATTTGTGAAGCCAGCTGCTCTACGGATGTTTACAGCTGTGGGGATAGGGACGAAACAAAGGAAGAAATTTCACCGTGAAGTTTGCACTTTGTCTATTGTGGAAAGCGGCAGCAACAGCGAAGTACGCAAATAAGCACCGTAATGAACTCATGTCCGCTTCTTATATCTATTTTCGGAAAGGCACCACTTGTATGGAAGTCTTAGACATACCGTTGTTGTTTACCTGTGTGTTTCTATGTAGTGCCTGGCTGGTCGTTCAAGATTCCTCTAGCAACGCAACGCCTCACTGAGGTCAAGATGCAGTATGTTAAAAGGGTTGTGAGCATCAGTGAAGATAATGAAGAATACGACATTATTGTTTACAAGGGTGACTAGAAGGTGGAAAAGAAAGACATCATGGTCATCATTGAAGCAGAAGGATGGTTGAACGACGAAGCCGTGAATTTGTATCTGCTAGCCATCCAGATCGACAATGATAATGCCAGAGAGAGTTCGATGTTTAGAGGAGAGATTAAAGACAAGAGTCCGAAGGACATTCCATCTGTGTATATTTTAGATTCTTTTTTCTATGTCAGATTGACATCCGCAACGTCCAGATAAATTGCTTATTGTGAGGGAATGAAGTGGGTCAGGGGGAAAAATATTTTTGATTTTAACTTCGTACTTATCCCTATGAATTTTAGAAACCACTGGGCTTTGGCATGTGTTAGAATAGACTGTTGCAAGTGTGAATTCCAGCTTGTAGACTCTCTCCCTCACGGCGACCACCTCGCACCACTTGAAGTATTAGCCGCGTTTTTTAAAATGGAGTTCAAACATCAAAATCTGCATGAAACATATCATGTGGACGATCTTACGACATCTTTCGAGACATTGCTTGATGGGGTGCCCGTCCAACATGATGGTTGTAGTTGTGGTATTTTTATGTTAGGTTTGCATCTTTGCTAGCGAAAGGTCACTTTCCACCATTCGATTTCTCGCAAGACAACATCCCGTATCTGAGGCATAGAATTGCATTCGATATTTTGTCGATGGTCCAGCATGAGTGAACATTCCAGATACGCAGAGTATGAAATCATTCAACACTTCAACACTTTTGTTGATGGTTAATAACAGTTTCAAGTGGTATGTGTCATTCAACACTTTGTTCATAGTTAAGAATAGTATCAATAGTTTGTATGTGTCATTGAACACTTTGTTGATGGTTTACAATAGTTGGTTAACTGTTACAATAGTTTCTATGGTTGGTATTGCTTTCCACGATTTTCAAATGTTATTGTGCAAATTACATATTTCTCAAAATTTCCAATGCTAAGTTTTCACCATTTTGCCTTTTTATGGTTGGTATTGCTTTCCACGATTTTCAAATGTTATTGTGCAAATGACATATTTCTCTAAATTTTCAATGCTAAGTTTTCACCATTTTGCCTTGTTTCATAGCTATTTTCCTCATTTGCTCCTCTCTTATATCTGTTATTTCACACTTGAAAAAAAAAGTGAACATGAAAACAATTTCACTTTTAACGAAAACACCGTTATGTGTGTGTGTGTGTGTGTGTGTGTGTGTGTGTGTGTGTTTGTTTGTGCGTGTGCGTTTGTGTGTGTGTGTGTGTGTATGTGTGTGTGTGTGTGTGTGTGTGTCTGTGTGTGTGTGTGTCTGTGTGTGTGTGTGTGTGTGTGAGAAAGAGAGAGAGAAAACCGTCATCCGAACTCAATGCGCCAGACGTCTTTGCTTTCACAATGGTCGAGGATATCATCCACTTCAAGTTCAATGTCACCACTTCCAGGAAGAAGTCTTCATGATCTCGAGTTCGAACGTGAGGAGTAAAGGAGAAGGCGGAGGAAGGAGGAGAGGGGGGGGGGAGGAGGAAGGAGGGAGGAGAAAGGAGGGAGGAGGAAGGAGGGAGGAGGAAGGAGGGAGGAGGAAGGAGGCAGGAGGAGAGAGGACGAGGGTGGAGATTGTACGTTGAGAGGGGGAGGGTCGCAAGCAGGCCTTCTACACCTTTTTTTTTTTTTTTTTTAATCAGTCAATTAATCAAGAAAGCCCTCTCTCCCCTTTGTCATTCATTGATTGATTGATAGATTGATTGGGAGAAAAAAAATGAAAAGGTGTGTGGAAAGGGAAGGGTTGTATTTGTTTTTCAATAAAAATGATATGAAGGGGTCGGAGGGAAGAGGGGGGGGGGGGGAGGGGGCGTGGAGGAAGGGGGGAGGGGAGCACAGTGGGGGGGGCAACCACAGAGGAAGAGCGAACTCGGGGGAAGGAGGTGAAGGGCGAGGGGCGAGGTCAATCTCAAAACCCTCATGATCATCCCTCCCTTCTTTCCGGCCCGTAAGAACAACAATCACAACAACAAAGTAAACCAGAGATCCAAAGGAGTTTCAAAAGACAAACAAACAAAGAAAAAAGGGTTTGAGGTGCTGCATTTTTCGAGAAGTGATATCCCGTACAATAGAGAAGACTATCGCTTGAATCTCACAAGGCACATATAACAAAAAATCGGAAAAGCCCCTCAAAAGCAGAGTCGTTGTCTTTCGGTCCATAAATATTTTTTTGAATTTCACAGGGTTGGTTCTTCGAGGGCTATAACAAGAAGTCTGACGAAAAGTGGTCCGTGTGCCAGAGGCATGCAAATTTATATTCATCGGATCCGAAAAGAAAAAAAGAAAAAAACAATTTTTGATCTGCCAACTTTTTTGGGTAAGGGTAGGGGCCGACTTCACTCCACTCTCCTTCACTCCATTCCACTCCACTTCACTCTACTCCACTCCACTCTCCTCCACTCCACTTTTTTTTTATTTTCTATTATACAGTACTATATGTTGTGATACTCTTATCTACTCACCGTACTTTACCGTACCCTATTTCACTCCACTCCACTTCATTCCATTGTTCTCTATTCTACTCCACTCCCCTCCACTCTACTCTACTACACCCGACCCTACTAGGTTCTACTCGACTCTACTCGACCGGACTCTACTCCACTCTACTTTACGCTACGCTACTCTACTATACTTTGCTTTACGTTTCCTTACTCTAATTTATTGTACTCTACTCATCTCTACTCCACTGTACTTTATGCTATGATACTCTTATCTACTCACTCTACTTTACTCTACTCTACTCTATTTTTTCCCACTTTACTCTACTTTACTCGATCCTACTGAACTCTATTCTAACCTACTGCACTCTACTTTATGCTACTCTACTTTACTTTAGGATACTCTAATCTACTTTGCTTTACTCTTCCCTACTCCACTCTATTCATTTCTACTCTACTGTACCCTGCTCTACTCTTATGTACTCTACTGTATTGTACTTTACGTTGTAATACTCTTATCTACTCACTCTACTCTACTCCACTTCACTCCCCTCCACTCCACTCCACTCTTCTACTCTACTCTACTTCATTCCCCTCCACTCTACTCGACTCTACGATATTTTACACTTCCCTACTTTTCTCGACTCTACTCTTTTCTACTATTTTCTTCTCTAAGTTTTTTTTTCCTACTCTTCTCTACTTTACTCTTCCTTACTCTGCTCTACTCCGCTCTGCTCCACTGTACTCTACTTTACGCTTCCCTTCTCCACTCCACTCTACTGTACTTCACTCTACTCCACTTCACTCTACTCCACTTTACTCTACTCTACTCTACTCTACTCTACTCTACTCTACTCTATTCTACTCTATTCTACTTTCCTCTCCTTCACTCCTTTCTACTCCACTCGAGTCACTCCTTCTCAAGCGCACTCTGCTCCTTTCCACTCTCCTCCACTCTGTTCGACTTCACTCCACTCTACTCCACTCCACTGTTCTCTACTCCAATCCACGTTATTCCACTTCACTCCATTCTACTTCATTTCACTTCACTTCATTCGACTCAAGTACATTCCCCTAAACTTCACTCCACACCACTCCGCTACTTTACTCCACTCGACTCTACTCGCCTCTTCTTGACTCGACTCGCCTCTGCTGTACTCTACACTACTGTACTAAACTCTACTCTACTTTGCTTTACTCTACTTCGTTTTGCTTTACTCTACTTCATTCTACTTTGAACTACTCTCCTATGCTAGAGTCAATTTCAGCCCATTTTGAATGTCCTTGTAGTTTGTTTTAGTGTAGTATATATCCATTCAAGGTACGTGACTCTTCTCTACTCTACCCCACTCAATTCTACTCCACCCGACTCGGTGCGACTCAACTTTACTGTACTCTATGCTACACTACTCTAAGCTACGCTACTGTACTTTACTCTATTTTGCTTGACTCTACTTTACTCTACTTTATTCTTCTGTACTTTACAGTACTGTACTATATGATGCAAT